CTATGAAGATCCCCAGTTCATTAGACTCCTATATTTGATTACTGAAAATATAAGGGTTAGTGGATATCCCTCAGTTGCAGTAAGTCTGAGTTACTTTATCTTACTGTTCAAATAGAGGCATGTTGTTGTTTGACTTGTGCAGAATATTACATCTTTCCTACTAATCAGAAGCAGCCTGCTGAAATGGAGGAGAACATGTAGGTCCACCTGGGTATTTCCTCTCACATATATACAGCTGAGAACTTCTCACATTACAAAACTGAGTGAAGGATAATAATACGTACATTTTCTACTTATAAGCCCGAAAATATACACAGGAGAAAACTTATTGTTTAAAAAAGGGCAGTGCCCTAGTCCTGTGATGCAGCTGGGTAAGTTAGCTTGTGTACAGCTCCCTCCTCCCACAGCTGCTGTAGGTCCTGAGCTGGATCATTGAGAACTAGCTCCATCATCACTCCATGGCGGCCATGTAGTCCTACCCAGAGTGAAGCATCCTGTCTCCTTAGGCAGCTACACTCTACTGATACATTAACCTCTTGACTAACACCCTACCATTTCTTGCAGGGCTTTTAACTATGCATAATCCTTTCATGCTGCTGAAACATATCCCAGATGAACAAGGCATATGAATGGAGGCAGAGTTCTTGAAGCTACAGTTTGGTGCACTGTTCCTCTAAATCATACCTGGATGCTCTTTCTTGGGGAGCTCCCGCATCTCTTCCCTCTCTTTTTTTTCATGTCACTTACTGGATTCAAGCATGTAGCGTCTACAGGTTAGACAGTAGCTTTGCAATTATTGCTTCCCCCCTGTATGCTCCTAGATAAGGCAGGATCAGCTTATGAGTGAGGTTTTATGAGCTGTTCGTACCCCCACGTGCAAGAAAAGAACTCCCTATTGCCTCAGTTAGCTAGTTTGCAAATTAAGCATGCAAGCATTCACTCAGTTTTGTCAAGTACTTTCAGACCTTTGCTTTATTAGTATACATACATGAAGTATTCTCAATGCTTATTTTTCCTTTTTGTATCTTCTCTTATTTTTTAGGTCTATAATATGTTCCCAGCCCTTGGATTTCTCCTGAAGGGTCATAAAATGCTTCTTCGAAATAGAGACGAAATGCGTGCTTTTGTACAAATTACTTTCATAGAACACCTCAAAAACCTAGACAAAAACGACCAAAGAAGTTTGATTGATGCTTTCCTCATAAAACAGCAGGAGGTAACTGGGCGTCTGAAATTTTTTCAGACTTGCATGTTTCCTTCCTGTATATTGCAGCTAAAAGCATAACTGCATGGTAGTGTAACTCGAGTGAAGTACCTGCCTGACAAACTAGCTGAGGTACCTAAAAAGCTTGCTGCTGTTAGCCCCTTTGGAACCAAGGAGTTCCCTAAAAATGCTGCCACTTTTGCAGAAGATGAGGATAGTCAGGTACTGTTGATGCAACCCTGTTTATTTACAAGTCCTGCACAGAATCCTGTTCCCCTGAGTACAGCAGGAGTTATATAGGAAGAGACGGTCTCTTTGTCACCATCCCCCTTTTCTTAAGTGTATGTCCTAACCTCTAAGGGCTATGTACATGCCACAATTTTTGACATTTCATGTGCTTCAACTGCGAGTCTGTTTGCATGAGCAGAATTCCCCAATGCTTTAAAATATGCATTAAACTAAAACTCCTCAGACATAATTTAATTTGGCTCAGCAGGGGGGGCCGCCTCCCTGGTTGTGCCTTACTGGTGCCCCCTCAGACTACCAGTCACCCATGGCTCACCAGGAATTAAAGTGTCATGTCCATGGATTCATTGCATGCAAACACCAAGACACTCAAAGATGTGTAATGAACCACTTTGTCCACCAGATGGTGCTGTGACTTTTTTGCAGTTCACCCATTCAAATTGCTTTTGCTTTTGAATTGCTTGCACCGTTTTTCTCTTGTGTGGTTGGCTGGCTCCCTGGTTCCGCAGCTGCATGGCAGGGCATGAGCACAGGGTGAGTGGGGGGCCCCAGGCCAGAGGGGCAGCACTGGACCATCCCACACTCCTGCAGCACTGGCCAGGGACCTTGCTTAATTAGTTCAAAAACCTAGTGTATGTAAACACAGATGCGACGCTCCAAAGTAAACAAGTTTAAATGTTATAAACCTAGTCAATTTAATGAGGATTAAAATCTCTGGTGTGTATAGGAGCCCCATGGCACAGCATATTCTGGGATAGGCCCCCCCATGTTTTCCTTTCGAAAATGATCCACATTGTAAACAATATTTAAATATTCATTGGGTCTTAGAGACATAGAAAGACACTGTTCTTTAGTGACTGAGATATTCATCTAGGTTGAGAGAGATTGTGATTCAATTCCTTACCCCAGTGAATATTTAAGCATTTTATACAACTTTGACAGAAAAAATTAGGAACAGTCCACACCAGAGTACACAATATCTTGGTAGTTAAATTGCTCTTTGTTAAGGTGGGAGAGGTAGATTTCTGAGATGTGCTGAGAGGAGGGACTTGAGCCTGTCCCTCACCCTCCAGGCCAATAGTTTGGCCAACAGATTAGGATGGATGGTTCCATGGTGACAGCACCTTCTCTCAAACATCTTTTGCCAGAAACATCTTGCTTAGACACCAACCTTCAGGATATTCACCACATGAACCCCAAGTCATGGAGGGTGCTCCTAAAGCTCTGTGAGGGAAACAGCTTAGGTCACATCCCTCTCCCTTGCATGTCCTCCCCTCTAGCTTTCAGTGTACTTCCTTTGTGGGTCCCAGTCTTCAGACCCTGACCCCTTCTAGGTAAGAAGTAAACTAAATCAGGGTGGACAAGTCCATTAAATGTCAGGCACCAAAACGTCTGTGGCCAACACATTGTATCTCACTGTGACCAAATCTTTTCTGGATCTCACTCTAGCTTCTCATAGCTACAGATCTCAGGCCTCTTATGGTTATAGAGGAAAAACATTCTTATCTACAAACTCAGTTCTGACAAGAGGCTGAGCATGTCAACCCTGATGCAACAATAGACTTAAACACCATTTCTTCTTTTGCTAAGTTGCAAATTTCCAACAGAGACTTTTTCATTTTTATCTATATTTCCTTCCCACTCCTTAGGAGAAAAATGACAGTGATGGTTATTTCCACAATGAGAATTTAAAAACCCTTGTAACCAATCTGTTTACTGCTGGCATGGAGACTACTTCCACTACACTACGCTGGGGCTTTCTGCTAATGATGAAGCACCCCAAAATTCAGGGTAAGTGCTCTTGTAACAATTGCCATTATGGCCAACACACCACACCTGGAACTGTGGAACTCCAAAGTTAATTTATGAGCTGCTACAGGTAAAATAGGCTCTGAAGTAGAGTGGAATACCCAGTTACCTGTGGCGGCACATTTCTCACAAGAAAACCACTCTCCCTGTAACCTCACAGTTCTAACACTCAAAGGGAATTTACAAAATATCTTTCACAGGTGAGCATATGAGCTTCACTTCATCAACCTACTGATACAAAAAATTGTAGACTAAATATAGACATTGGATTTATGACACACTATAACCTGCCTGACACCTCAGAGTGAGTGCTCCTGTAACAATTGCCTTTACAGCCAACACACCACACCTGGAACTGTGGAACTCCAAAGTTAATTTATGAGCTGCTACAGGTAAAATAGGCTCTGGTATAGAGAGTGGAACAGCTTCATTTCCACTGCGGGTCACAGAGGAGGTGAAACATCCACTTATGAGCAGGTTTGGGGTTTTATTTTCTTGCAGCCAAATTTTGATTTCAATTACACCTATCTAAATCTGGAGTTGTTTTGTTCCAGTCAGAGAAAATGCTTTCCTCTTGCATCAGGGGTGTTGGTTGTAGCCACGTTGCTCTAAGGACATAGGCACACAAGGTTCTTTGGGTGCATCTTTAATTAAAACATCCCAGGAGAGTACACAAACAGCAGCAGACTCTCCCTATGCCTGAAGAAGGGTGTTTGCATCCAAAAGTTTGGAAAGAAGAATGCTTCCAACTATTTGACTTGGTCTAATGAAAGATATCAGATTTACCCAAAGAACCTTGTCTGCCTATGTCCTTAGGCCAATATGGCTACAACCTACACCCTTGGATAAAACTGCATGTTCTAGAGTATTATGATGTGATCAAAGTCGTTCTGTCCAGCACCAGTTAAACTATGTTATGATTCAGCAATTTAATGAAGGGAGCCGGTTATCCATGTACTTTCAGAAGTTCTCCATTTTTCTTTGAGGATGCTGAACACATGAAAAAGTCTAGTTCTGTTAGCATCCCATTAAGCCCAGAGAGAGAGATTTTTAGGGACTTGCATCCATTTAACCTATGAGCCTATACATTTCATGCTAAACACATAGAGCACTTCTTAGGGATTTGGACGTGCTGGTTTCCTTCTTTTGCAGAAAAAGTCCAAGATGAAATAGCAAGAGTTCTAGGATCAAATCCACCGCGAACTGAACATCGAACTAAGATGCCCTACATGGATGCCGTTGTCCATGAAATCCAGAGGTTTGCCAACATCCTGCCATTGAATCTACCTCATGAAACTACTGTAGACGTCACTCTCAAAGGCTACTTCATCCCAAAAGTAAGATGTTTGTAGCATTGCTCCCCTTCCCTCTTCTTCTGTGACATCCACGCTTTAGGACTCCTGGCTTGGTTGCTGCTGTTAATTCAGACAATCAGGAATCAGCTGACAGTATTCATCAAGTATTCCTGCTATACCATTAATTGCCTATTACCATAGCAATGATCCAGTGTGATGCAGATGGTGTGGTACATCACCACACAAAACACAATGCATATTTTACTGCGTTACAAAAAGCTAGAAGCTTTACTAATAAGCTAGAGGCCTAGGGATATATTGTTCAGGTTAAGATTAGAGCACAAAAAAAAAAAAGTTTCTTGAACTGTGCATTAATTTGTTCTATCATATATTATGCATAAAAAACAAAAAAAGCAAAAATTATCAAAATACTAGTTTCAGTAGTCTTGCTATTCTTAAAATTAAATGTGCATTTCTCTTTCCGATTCATAAAACAAAACCTAGCCTTCTTGAGCATCTTGACAGTGCATCCAATGCTTCACTGAAAGTTATTTCCATCCCCGAGTTAATGTTTTTAGCTAGAGCATCTGCCCCAAATCAAGTGACCAGATTCCTTCACAGGAACCTCCATGGATCTGTTTTTCAGGATACCTACATCATCCCCTTGCTGACCTCCGTGCTGCGAGACCAGTCTCAGTGGGAGAAGCCAGATGTTTTCTATCCTGAGCATTTTCTTGACTCTGAAGGAAAATTTGTAAAGAAAGAGGCCTTCATGCCATTCTCAGCAGGTACCTTCTGTTTTCTACTTATTGCTGTGATGAGAAGAGAGCTAAAATTCAGTAGATTATAGCATAAACCTTATGTCCTCTCACTGTATCTTACATGGACCAGGTTTCCCAGTTTGGCTTAACTATCCTCCCTCTCCCCACCCTCCACCCACTGATGTAAGGGCTGTGATGGCAGAGTGGTTAAGCTGTCTTGCTACAACTCCAGATGTGTGAGAAGGTAGTTTATGCTGGATTTTTCCATAGTCTGCCCCTCTAACCAAATCAGCTGGAAGTGGGAACTTGGTTATTTGGGTTGGGGAGTCAGGTGGAGCAATGTGATGCTAGCCACATTCTCCCTCGTGCTGGGCTATGAGAACCAGGATCTTTAGCCCTGCTCCTAAAGAAATTTGATAGCCTCTGTTAACCTGGTGGATCAGACCGTATCACTGCAACAGCTTCAATAATTCTATTAAATTTGAATGTGCTTTGTGTGCTTCAGACGCTTCGGACAGCTTGACTTAACGTTAGAAGAGGAAGGGAGAGTATGGGGGGGGGACTGGGGGGGAAGACCAACATGTGTAGGTGTCCAGTGAGAAGGATTTTTTCCCTGGCTGCCTTTCCAATGACAGTGTCTGTGGGGTGGGACTAGAAACAGCATAAAAGCCTCTGTTTGGATGCATTCTGTACCTTTTCCAGCTTGTGCCCAACTTTGTTAGAGAGGAACGCTCAGACTGAGACATTGCAGCTTGGTAGCTCAATACTAGTTGAACTTGCCTGCTCCTTTTTCTTGTTACAAAGGAGTGGGTAGGATTTATCTTAGCTTAGCTTAGCTATTCTATTCAGTTACTATTAGTATCACTATTCAATTCATTTCTTTGAATTTATATTTGCTCTTTTTTTTTTGGAAACTTTGAAAAAAAGAAAGCTGTGTTACATCACTGTGCAGGAAGGCACAGATTGCTTGCACACACACAGTCACACAGATACACAGACACAGAAGGAGACAACATAGAGAAAAATCAGATATTCATAGGAGAAG